CAAACCCAAATTTGTAATATATTGCAGCTTACCAATCATTAGATGTGGTTGGCTGATTAGGTTTCTTTTTTAAGGCTTTTTGCCCTCTGTTTACAACTAGGGAGTAATACCTCTTGTACTAGAGTGCTCTCAGTCTGGATGCAGGAGCACAGGGGGTACAGCAGACGGCAGCATTGTGAGTACGAGGGGGGGGGGGGGGAGTTGAATGTTAGCTGGAGTTTGGCTTCAAGTTGTTAGTGTTTTTAAATCTGCTAGCATCTTTAATATTTTTTAAGCAGTTGCAGCAAACAGTGTTTTTTTTTTTTTTCTTTTCCTTTTGGGATTTTACGTAACTAAATAAAAGCTGAACATTGTGAGCACCCCTGTCAATGGTAAACCTTGTTATTATGTCCGCTGTAGGCAAAGCAATAAGTCACTTTAAATCCTGTCTTCAGAGAAAACAACTCCCCCCCCCCCCCCCCCCCCCCCCCCCAGCAGGAAAACAATGTTTACTTGCTTGATCCCTGGCTCCAGGAGCAGGTGGTGCTCAATCTTCTCCTGTAATGTACAGTGCTTAGCGAACTATTGGCGCTATATAAATACTGTATAATAATAATAATATACACTCTGGTCTGTGGGCGGTCACTTGTCATCCTTATCTACAATGCATGGCTATTGGTGCTGCATTGTGCTTGATGACATCACAGTGCCTGCAATTACCGAAGATGGAACCAAGGAACAGCTAATTAAAATTCATTTTTACAGGTACGATAGTCCTTTAAGAACATTTAAATCTTGCAGCGCAGGGGGAGTCCTACTGGAACGGGAGTTTTTTTTTTTTTTTGGGGGGGGGGGGGGTTTTTTTTTGTATTGTTTTTGTTTATTTTTTTGTTTTTGGGTTTTTTGGTTTTACTCAGGGTTCAACTTTAAATCTTTGCTCACTGTACACATGGATGAATATGCTATTTTGTTTGGTGTTATAAGGAAACCATTGGATTAAGGCTGTGAAATATGCAAATGTAGCAGTCATAAACTATTCTATTTTGTAACTTTAGGATATGTTGCAGGTTTGTAGTTCATACAATTAGCAGTAAGCCTCTTTGCGGGAGAGGACAATGGCAGAACTGCTGCCATAAATTAGCTTTCTAATATAGTCAGTCACGAGTCATTGTGGTCTCTCTGCAGCCTGACTTTGAGGGAAGAGCAGTGGGATAGCAGTGAGCATCTGGTAAACAGAAGTCCACAGACTGCCCTGGAGTACGAGTGATATTAGCTCACATACTAATGTACTTTGCTATGGAAAGGTGTTTCCTGTTGATAGGAGGACAGTATAGATTGCTACTTCCAGCCTCTAAACATGAAACCAAAATCAAGCCAAACAGATTGGAAAGTTTTTGTAGTGGGGAAGCCAGTTCAAGGTCAAGGAATGCTAAAATGGCAGTTTATATATGCTGGCAATATTTACTTCAACTTAGTACAGCTTTAAAATGTAAATGGACTGGTAGACAATGCTATTCTTATAACAACGGGAAATGATTGTACTAACTTTAGACTCCTTTTTTCTGTAGAAAAAAAAATTTCAGAATCCATTGGTTTTTAAGAAAAGTTCGTACATGCTTAGATTTTTTTTTTTTTTTGTGGGCTAAACAAAAACTGACAGATTCGTCCATCCACATGATACAGCATGAATGAACACATTTTTTGCTGCTCCTATTATATTCTGATAGCCACGGTCACCAGCTGTCAGAATACCCAAAGAGCAGCTGTTTCCAATCAGATTCAGCCGCTGTTCAGGTATTCTGGCAGCCAGCAGCATCCAGCTTCTTTGGTTTTCTGTGCAGGTCCTTTAATCTTGGCAGGAGGGTGGTGATAGTGCCGCCCACAGAGCTAATTTCTGATGAATCCGCTGACATTCACATTGTATGGTCAGCTTTAAGCCAGCCATACATGAATCGAAATTTGGCAGGTTCAGCAGGGACCAGCTGAATTTCAATCCATGTATGGGCACCTTGATTGTACACGTGCCCTCATAGCAAGCTGTGTGCTATGGGGACATAGAGTGCTCAGAATAAATGAGTACACCTCTTTTGAAAAATAAGATTTTAATCAATATCTCAATGAACACGAGAACAATTTCCAAAATTTTGAAAACACTGAGTTTTATAGAACATTTGTTTAGCTCATTACATGAAAGTAAGGTTAATATTATAACTTGAATTACAGAATCTTAATTTTTACTCAAATTAGTTGATGCAAAAATGAATACACCCCACAACAAAAACTCCTACATCTAGTATTTTGTATGATCTCCATGATTTGTAAGGACAGCACCAAGTCTTCTAGGCATGGAATGAACAAGTTGGCGACTTATTGCAACATCTATCTTTTTCCATTCTTCAAGAGCGACCTCTTTTAGAGCCTGGATGCTGGATGGAGAGTGATGCTTAACTTGTATCTTCAGAATTCCCCATAGGTGTTCGATTGGGTTCAGATCAGGAGACATACTTGGCCACTGAATTACTTTCACCTTGTTCTTCAGAAATGCAACAGTGGCCTTAGATGTGTGTTTTGGATCATTTTAGGAGTAATAGTGCACTAAAGCCCTCTTATAATTTTGCTATGCTTTAAAATGCCACATGAATTTTTTCCATTTTGACTGATATTAAGCTTAGACTTCTAGAAAATAAAGAATAAATTATAGGTATGCTTATTTACAATGTATTAGTCCCCACTGGTCCATGTCATTCCCAGAGTTATCTATAGGCCACTGCATAGGTTTGGAAGGAGTGAACGGTTAGTTTATATTATGTGGACCAGTCAGCCTAATGTTAGTGAGGTGGTGGCAAGCGGGAAATAAAAAGCTTTTTTTTGTGTGTGTTTGTGTGTGTGTGTGTTTGTGTGTGTGTGTGTGTGTGTGTGTGTGTGTGTGTGTGTGTGTGTGTGTTGGCTATTCATTTTTTCTCATTAAATGCCGTACCCCATAATGGCAAAGTGAAAACAGAATTGTAGAAATGTATGAAGTACAAAAAACTTAAATATCACATTGGCATAAGTATTCAGACCCTTTGCAACAACACCTGAAATTTAGCTCAGGTGCCTCTCATTTCTCTTGTTTGCTGAGATGTTTCCACACCTTGATTGGAGTCCACCAGTGGTAAATTAAATTGATTGGACATGATTTAGAAAGGCACACATCTCTATAGAAGGCCTCAAAGCTGACAATGCATACTCTATCCAAGCAAAAGCCATGAGGTCAAAGGAATTGCCTCTGGTCACTCTGACTAAACTTCAGAGATTCTGTGTGGAGATGGGACAAAGGACAACATCACTGCAGTCCTTCACCGATCTGGGCTTTATGGCAGAGTAGCTAGATAGAAGCCTCTCCTCAGTGCAAAAAACATAAAAAAGCCTGACGAGTTTGCAGAAAAGCAACTAAAGGACTCCAAAACTGTGAGGAACAAGATTATCTGTTCTGATGAAACCAAAGTTTAACTGTTTGTCCTCAATTCTAAAAGTTATATCTGGAGGAAACCAAGCCCTGCCATCACATGCCCAATTCCATCCCAACAGTGAAACATCATGCTGTGCGGGTGTTTTTCAGAAGCAGGGACTGGGAGATTGGTCAGGGTTGAGGGAAAGCTGAATGGAGCAAAGTACAGAGATAAGTATCCTTAGTGAAAACCTATTCCACAGCACTCAGGACCACAGACTGGGCTGAATGTTCACCTTCCAACATGACAACGATCATAAGCACACAGCGTAGACAACCCAGGAGTGGCTTAGGGACAACTCTGTGAATGTCCTAGAATGGCCTAGCCAGAGCCCCGACTTGAACCCTATTAAACATCTCTGAAGAGACCTGAATATGGCTGCCCACTGAAGGTCCCTATCCAACCTGACTGAGCTTGAAAGGATTTGCAAAGAAGAATGGCAGAAAATCCCCCAATCCAGGTGTGCAAAGCTTGTCACGTCATACTCAAAAAGACTTGAGGCTGTAACTGCTGCAAAAGTGCCTCAACAAGGTACTGAGTAAAGGGTCTGAATACTTAAGTAAATGTGATATTTTAGTTTTTTTCTTTTTAATTAATTCACAGACCTTTCTAAAATTCTGTTTTCACTTTGTCATTATAGGGTACTGAGTGTAGAATGAGAACAAAAAAAGGAATTTGAATAACTGTAGTATCAGGCTGCAACATAACAAAATTGAAAAAGTGAAGGGGGGTCTGAATACTTTTAGAATGCACCTATATACACTCCCTGGCCAGTTTATTAGGTACACCTTTCTAGCACCAGGTTGAACCCCCTTTTGCCTTCAGAACTGCCTTCATTCTTTGTGGCATAGATTCAACAAGGTGTTGGAAACATTCCCCTGAGAATGTGGTCCATATTGACTTGGGTTACTGTTGCCTTTCTATCCTCTCGAACCAGTCTGCCCATTCTCCTCTGACATCAACAAGGCATTTTTGGCCACACAACTGCCACTTACTGGATATTTTCTTTTTTTTGGACCATCCTCTGTAAACCCTAGTGATGGTTGTGCATGACAATCCAAAAGCAGATTTTGAAACACTCGGACCCGTAAAAAAAGATATAATATGTTAGGATAGACTACAGACACTTAAAATTGTAGGGCAGACCTCTCTGGGAAAAAAATCAGTCTGGGTCTCAAGGCAATTTTGGGGATAAAAGGACCTGGGACTCGAGGTTTACAAACATAACTGGTATTGTCATCAGTATTTGAACTGTTGAAGTGACATTGAAATGGATTGCTGATGTTTGTTCGGTCTGGTTTTTAGTTTGAAAGTGATTTTGACTATGGCTGATTGTAGAGAATGAGCCCTTGTCTCTAACTTGTTGACATGCTGCTGGTTAAATTGCTGCTGAACACTATTTCTCTGTTAAATATATTAAATGTATAGAATAAATCACAACAGAAGAATAAAAATTGTGTATGGGTGATATAACTTGCTTTACTCTGTCCAGCTCTAACATTTTTTTTTTTTTTTTTTTTTGTATTCTAGCTTTATAATTTTGGAGAGACGGTTTTCCATTGTTTTCTGGACAGACTCTTGGAAGCCAGAGAGTTTCTATGACAAAATTCGGAGGAACAGACTCAGTGGGATGCATACTCTGTGCTTGTTAGGTGATGTATATCTACTTCTGAGTTTATATAAACACAATTATGAGTTCTGAGCCACAACAACCATTTCAATTTTCATTGTAATCAGTTGAAAGTAGGGGAAACAGATGTTTTATAATTAATTTCTGTGGAATAGTGCACCCCTGCCACACAACTGTGTACAACCGCTTCTTCTAATGCATCTCAAGGGGGGGCTGTATGTGGAGGCAGCAGCTCCCAGGAATGTCATTAAAAGGTTAGTTCACTTTTACCAAAATCTATCTATGCAGATAAGGGACATCTATAGATGAAAACAAGCTGTGCAGCTTTGACCAAAGTTGAATAAGTGTAGGCTATTTACTTAACTTGTGAAGCCTGACTGAAAATTCCCAGAACATTGCTAGGATGTTGCTAAGCAAGACCTAGCTATTCTCACCTTCATCATCACAGCAGTGAGTTCATTGATGATGGTGAACAGTAACAGCTGGGCCTTGCTTAGCAATATCATAGCACTATTCTGAGAGTTTGCACTCAGGCTTCATGAGGTACATATATGGCCTACATCTATAGAAAGGACATTATTCAACCGGACTGGCTGCTCCATAAGACGCACTGACACACCCCCCCCCCCCCCCTTTTTTGGGGGGAAAAAAGTGTGTCTTATGGAGCGAAAAATACGGTACTTCCACTTTACTACAGTTATATTGCCATATTCTTTTTAAATTTTCTATGTCCACCAGTGCTGTACATGCCACATGTGAGTTGGGGTGCTTCTTAATGTTTGGTGCTTGAGGGCAGTTAGGTCTGAGATCCAGCATACATATACCACTTCTAAGATGACCTCCAGCATGGCCTTATGAAGGAGCATGCATGCTCCGAACACGTGCTGCTGTTCTCCACCTGCAAACCCGGAAGTGATGTCATCCCTCGGTTTTCAGCGTTCTCAGCCTCCACAAGCAGAGCAGTCAGTACTGGAATCCACCAGCTTGTTTCCTTTGAATACAGAGACACCCAGCAGGACCACCCAGGAACTGCAGAGCGGGACTTATGTTTTGACAAGTGCGATTTCACCTACATTTGTGAGTTTACTGACTTTTTAACAGTAAAGTGTTTTAACTTGCTTCACTTAGGAGCGCTGTTCCCTCTCTTCCTAGTTGGCTTCTATTGTTAGCTTTGTTCAGTTAAAGTGAATGTGAACCTCAGATATGAAATATGAAACAAAACATACCTCGCTACAGTGTATACTTGTCTCTAGCCATAGCACGAAGTGTCATTTCTGTCTGTTGCTTTGTTCCTCTGCATGAGGAGATTCATGCTATCAGCATGAATCTCTCTTCTGACCAGTTTTATCTACAGCAGATTGACAGCCTCAGCTCTGTTCCATTGAGCTCTGTGGAGGGAGTGTTTCTCTTCCCTCCAATCAGCTCTCAGAGCTCACCTCACTGAGCTTTGCAGAGTGTAACTGAAGCTCAACACCCCTTTTTTTTTTTTTTTTTTTTTTCTTTTTTTGGAACTCTCTGACAAGCTATATAAATTCTGCACTTTGAATGGATGTAAAGAGAAGACTGCAGATAAACGTGTGTGTGTGTGTAACCTTTTTACGCTTTGTGAATTAAAGGTAGAAGCTGATTGGTTGACATGCTCAGCTGATCCACATTGTGATCTCTCCAGTCTTAGTAAATTCCCCATTTGTGTTCTAGCGTTTCTCTGACCAGAATATATCATGGACTTGAAATGCTAAGGGCTGCTTCTTAATTTCTACAAGGAGATTCTATGGAATGACGGTACATGGTTATACAGTCAGGTCCATAAATATTGGGACATTGACACAATTCTAACATTTTTGGCTCTATACACCACCACAATGGATTTGAAATGAAACGAACAGGATGTGCTTTAACTGCAGACTGTCAGCTTTAATTTGAGGTTATTTACAGCCAAATCAGGAGAACGGTGTAGGAATTACAACAGTTTGCATATGTGCCTCCCATTTGTTAAGGGACCAAAAGTAATGGGACAGAATAATAATCATAAATCAAACTTTCACTTTTTAATACTTGGTTGCAAATCCTTTGCAGTCAATTACAGCCTGAAGTCTGGAACGCATAGACATCACCAGATGCTGGGTTTCATCCCTGGGGATGCTCTGCCAGGCCTCTGCAACTATCTTCAGTTCCTGCTTGTTCTTGGGGCATTTTCCCTTCAGTTTTGTCTTCAGCAAGTGACATGCATGCTCAATCGGATTCAGGTCAGGTGATTGACTTGACCATTGCATAACATTCCACTTCTTTCCCTTAAAAAACTCTTTGGTTGCTTTTGCAGTATGCTTTGAGTCATTGCCCATCTGCACTGTGAAGCGGCGTCCAATGAGTTCTGAAGCATTTGGCTGAAAATGAGCAGATAATATTGCCCGAAACACTTCAGAACTCATCCTGCTGCTTTTGTCAGCAGTCACATCATCAATAAATACAAGAGAACCAGTTCCATTGGCAGCCATATATGCCGCACACGCCATGACACTACCACCACCATGCTTCACTGATGAGGTGGTATGCTTAGGATCATGAGCAGTTCCTTTCTTTCTCCATACTCTTCTCTTCCCATCACTCTGGTACAAGTTGATCTTGGTCTCATCTGTCCATAGGATGTTGTTCCAGAACTGTGAAGGCTTTTTTTAGATGTCGTTTGGCAAACTCTAATCTGGCCTTCCTGTTTTTGAGGCTCACCAATGGTTTACATCTTGTGGTGAACCCTCTGTATTCACTCTGGTGAAGTCTTCTCTTGATTGTTGACTTTGACACACATACACCTACCTTCTGGAGAGTGTTCTTGATCTGGCCAACTGTTGTGAAGGGTGTTTTCTTCACCAGGGAAAGAATTCTTTGGTCATCCACCACAGTTGTTTTCAGTGGTCTTCTGGGTCTTTTGGTGTTGCTGAGCTCACCGGTGCGTTCCTTCTTTTTAAGAATGTTCCAAACAGTTGTTTTGGCCACGCCTAATGTTTTTGCTATCTCTCTGATGGGTTTGTTTTGTTTTTTCAGCCTAATGATGGCTTGCTTCACTGATAGTAACAGCTCTTTGGATCTCATCTTGAGAGTTGACAGCAACAGATTCCAAATGCAAATAGAACACTTGAAATGAACTCTGGACCTTTTTATCTGCTCATTGTAATTGGGATAATAAGGGAATAACACACACCTGGCCATGGAACAGCTGAGAAGCCAATTGTCCCATTACTTTTGGTCCCTTAACAAGTGGGAGGCACATATGCAAACTGTTGTAATTCCTACACTGTTCACCTGCTTTGGATGTAAATACCCTCAAATTAAAGCTGACAGTCTGCAGTTAAAGCACATCTTGTTCGTTTCATTTCAAATCCATTGTGGTAGTGTATAGAGCCAAAAATGTTAGAATTGTGTCGATGTCCCAATATTTATGGACCTGACTGTAACTAATGCAACCACTTTACTATGTACCAGAATTAGAATGTTCTGTTTGTGTTGCTGTTTTTTCTCAGTGACGAGATGTTTAATGACCTATTTCTCCCTTTTTATTGCAGATATTAAAGTGAAGGAGCAATCAATAGAAAACCTCATGAAGTGAGTCTACTAAACTATTTTACAACATAGCCAGATAAGAGCACCTCTCTATATTGGAGCAAATTACAGTAACATTGTTAGGCAACATCCACCTCCAAAATAGTGCAAGCCCCCTATCCTGAGGATTCCAGCGCCCTCTGCTGGAGATCGCTACTTTACAGCAGACCTGGCCTGTTCTCCAACAGACTAGAGTTAGTACACTTGCAACTTAGCTAGATTGCATGCACGCTTTTACATTATTACCACATGTCAATGTATGAGGCCCATAGAAATGAAATAGAAAATGTGTGTCAATGCATGTTATAACACACACTTAGGGCTAGTTCACACTAGGTGCAGTTCAGTGCACTTTTTTTTCTGCATCAGAAATGCATGCAGTGTTTTCCATGTATTCCAGTAACCCTGGTTCACACCAGTGCAGTCATTTTCTGGTGCACAAAGAAAAAAAAAAGTAGAACGTTGCATTTTTCTGCACAGAACCATACTGGATCACAGCAAACTGCAACAAAACTGCACCGGAACTGTGTGTGGTGTGAACTGTAAGCAAAAACGTACCTGGAATGCATTCGGAATGCATTTTTGTGGTGTGAACTAGTCCTTACACTTGTAAATATGTACAATGACATGTTTCAGTGCAGTACAATAAGAACGCATGGGTTTCTTGCTGTCAAGAAATATCAACTGTAGAGCTAACGCCCTCCTCTACTATACTTTGGGGTTCATTTACTAAAACTGTAGAGTGCTAAATCAGGTTCAATTCTGCATGGAAATCAATCAGCTGCCAGGTTTTATTGCCAAAGCTTAACTGAACAAGCTGAGGTTAGAAGCTGATTGGCTACCATGCACAGCTGCACCAGATTCTGGGTGAACCAGTTTTAGTAAATCTCCTTTGTATGTATGGTACTATTAGGGTAAATAAATATAATTGGAGACAATTGAGAGTCTAACTTAGGTGCATGCTGGCTAATGTTTTTCCAGTAACGGGGAAATAATTTATTACCACTAGCATGCTTTGATTGACTTGGTGCCTTTATACAAATGTAATTATTACTATGGTGTCAAGAGTATAATGCTCCTCTAATGGGCAGCATTTGAGGAGTGTCCATTTAAAATAAAAAATCTCCAACATTTCAACAGCATCCTAGTGTGAACCTCATGACTCTTTCCCATGGAATCCATATGATACGACTATGGGGCTTCTTAGCACAGAGCTGTTAACGCATCTCAGCAAAATCTTAGGAACCTAAAAATAATCATCTTATTTAATCTAGCAGCCATTTAAACACATTTGGTTTACAATGATCTGGTTATTATATCTTCACACTTGAGGACGTGATGTTTTGCATTATCATGCATTGTAATTTGTTTCGAATGATACCATAACTACGGTACATTGCCTGAGTGTTTAAAGCAGAGGTGTCTAACTGGCGGCCCTCCAGCTGTTGCAGAACTACAAGTCCCATCATGCCTCTGCCTTTGGGAGTCATGCTTGTAACGGTCAATCTTGCAATGCCTCATGGGACTTGTAGTTTGGCAACAGCTGGAGGGCCGTTAGTTTGACACCCGTGGTTTAAAGATATAGAACGCATAAAAAATATATTGTATATACAGGTGAAACTCGAAAAATTAGAATATCGTGCAAAAGTTCATTTATTTCAGTAATGCAACTTAAAAGGTGAAACTAATATATGAGAGAGACTCATTACATGCAAAGCAAGATAGTTCAAGCCGTGATTTGTCATAATTGTGATGGTTATGGCTTACAGCTCATGAAAACCCCAAATCCACAATCTCAGAAAATTAGAATATTGTGAAAAGGTGCAATATTCTAGGCTCAAAGTGTCCCACTCTAATCAGCTAATTAAGCCATAACACCTGCAAAGGGTTCCTGAGACTTTAAATGGTCTGTCAGTCTGGTTCAGTAGGAATCACAATCATGGGAAAGACTGCTGACCTGACAGTTGTGCAGAAAACCATCATTGACACCCTCCATAAGGAGGGAAAGCCTCAAAAGGTAATTGCAAAAGAAGTTGGATGTTCCCAAAGTGCTGTATCAAAGCACAGTAATAGAAAGTTATGTGGAAGGGAAAAGTGTGGAAGAAAAAGGTGCACAAGCAGCAGGGATGACCGCAGCCTGGAGAGGATTTGCAACCACGTTTTTCAGTTAATTGGCATATTGGTACAGCATTTCCTATCAAACTGCTTATTAGTCCTCGTCTTTAGTTTATTGTTTTGAAGAAATATCTGTTAGCTTAACTTTTTAAAGTTTAAGGTGGAAGGTTAACTACATTTTGTTTGGGGGGGGGATACGGTACCAGTGTAATAGTGCACCTCTAATGATGTGTATCCCATGTTCTTCTGCTCACTGGAAGGCCTCATGCACATTTGGGCATAAAAAAACATCCCTTTAAAGGGTGTTTAATTTTTTTTTTTTGTTTTTCATTACCATACACACATAGGTGTATACAGGCACATTAGAAGAGGAGCATTTAGAGGCTGGAAAAAAAACATTACTTGCTTGTTCAGAGGAAGATTGTTTGAGCAGAAAAAAACGCTTGATGCACCTAAATACCAGTAAGTGCATCTAAATGTGCCTAGTCGCTAGGCATGTTAAGCATTTATTCATTTCATTGGCCAGAATAAATGAATAATCCCCTTACAGCTTTTAATTTCCAGGCCCGTGGGGAATATAGTGCCAGCTACTTCTGTGAAGGACTCATGGCACTCACCTTCTTCTGACTGTTTCCTCAGCCATTCACAAAACCATCTCCCAGAACCCAACACGAATGGAGGAGGGGGCAGATCAATGAAAGGATCTGCTCTGCCTATTCACCGAATATGCTGGATTCTGCAAGAAGCATACTAATAGTTTGGTGAATGGATGAGGGGAAAAAAGGAGAAAGCGAGCAGCATAAGTCCTTAAAAATTGGAGTACAACAGCGCTAGGTGTCTAATAATTATTCAAATAAATGAGTGTATGGATTATAAAGCATAAGTCCTTCATAGCTGGAGCTGCACTAGTAGACCCCGCAGCAGCTAAAGTTTTTTTTTTTTTTAGTATTTTTATAGCTGTTTTGTCTGGCCTCACTGAATTATTATAGTAACCAGAATCCAGCAGAAAACAGGAATGCACTTCATTAGAGGTACATTATTACACTGGTACGGTAAAGAAAATTGTTAAACATCTACAAAGACCTTTGAAATGACAGACATCACTTGCATAATAAAGACATAAAGCAATTCAAGGTTATGAATGTACTTACATTTTATGATTTGTTACTGCTGTCTAATTTCAGAGGAAAGAAGGTTTTTGATCCACCTCGCTACATGACTGTGAATCAAGCAGTGGAGCAGCTTCTGCAGATTGTGCAGAACCGGAGGGAGCTGGGAGAGGAGCTGGGTGAGCATTTACTAGGGACACTTCTTTTGAACTCTAAACTCCCTTATCATAAAATATATTTTTCACCAGTTTTTATGATTTAAGAGAATCTGTATTTTACCCATTGAGGGCTAGATAACCAGTTCACTGAGAGTCTTTGCTGGTGACACTTGCCTTTCATTAGCTCCCCATTCAGCTTGTTTGCTCGCTGGAGTCCCCTCCAAGATTCCTGTGTGATTCCTGTGTGAGTTCCACTCTGGATTGGGTATTGACGGAACGTAGTACAAACATTCATATCAATTAAAGGTCTTTTTGAAATGTTTAGAGGATTAAATAAAGCCAATGTACTTTAAGGGAAATGCTCTGCTCTCCTCAGGGCTTGAGCAGTGGATGGTATTTGGATCACAATGAGATGCAATAGGAGACATCTGTAATACTGATAAACACTGTCAGATATTCATGGCACCATAAACTGCCGACAGGAGTGTAAGTTCCAGGTTGCATACGGGCTGGAGCTTTAAGCCCTCCAACCATCCTCCCTGACATCCCCAGGGCTGACATTTAGCTCCTCAAGTGCTCAGTACTGCACCATAGGAGGAAGGGAACAGGGTGATACTCATTCCATACCCAGAAATAATGGGTGCTTTACTGGCCTCTTGACGTTGCTTTTTAGGCTTTCTAAACAATAAAAGCATATCCTCACTAAGTAATAGATGGCATAATTTACTACGATTATTTTCAGCAAAGAGAACGAATAAGAGCTGAAAATAATTGGTGCATGGCCGAAAATAATGATCATTCCAGCAAATTACAGCTGAATGAATTACCCTAATATTGGTGAGCAGTAGAAATGCATCGTGAATATCTTACCTAAGCAGCAGTATTCACCTTGTCTACTATACCAAGCTTATATTTACACATATACAGATGTACTGTATATTAGTGGAATATAAAAATGAATGTGTTTTTTATTCTACGCATATCTTCATTCACTGACTGTCCCAACTGTTGCCCCCCACCCCCCTTCCTAGGTTAATGTGTGTGTGTGTGTGTGTGTGTGTGTGTGTGTGTGTGTGTGTATGTGTATATATATGTATATATATATATATATATATATATATATATATATATATATACACACACACAATATATACATTTTATATTGGATAGGTACCAAAACTGAGAAAATATACTAGCATTCGTATTTTATTGTTGTTTAAAGCTAGGATACGAGTTAGTCATTGTACACTGCTACTGCTGAAATCTAATACTCACTTGTGTCAGGGTGTTGAGATGGCCATACATGGTTAGATTTTCGTTCGGATGTTGATAGAGAAATCTTTCAGCAGAACATTCTTTCTCGCAATCATTGAGTCAACTAATGTCATTTAAATGCCCTATAAAATTTCACTCAGACCTGCTATTTCAGTGGAATTTTATACAAATTAAACAGGTTTCATTACAATATGTATGATTTTCCCAAATGGAAACCACACACACAGTTAGAAATTCATCTGTTTGAGAAATGTTTTCCTTCCCGTGTCTTCAACTTTTCTTGACCCCACTGACTATTAGAAAATTAAATTCCAGAAACTACATTTTGAATCAAAATTCTACTTGTACTTGGCCAACTTTAGACTGGAAATTCTTTTGTCTGTCCAGCATTCAGATTTGCAAGTACAACAGATCGGTATGCTTAAACTATCTCCTAGTCTTTGCTAAAGTGGAAGTAAAGTCACAGAAATACCTCCTCATTCCAGCAATGTAGTGATTAAATCTCTAGCCAGCTGCTGTCATCTTCCCCCTGGCTACTTTGGGTGCTGGGTTTTTGGACTTTTGATTGGCTGGTCGGGGAATGAAGTCATCCTTGCAGGCGACGCTCAGTGTGCATTCAGTAGAGGACTGTGAGCAGGCTGGTAAGTGTTTGTCATTGTAGAAGAGACATAGCAGATCTCTTACGCAATAAAAAGCTGCCTGCTGTTCCCTGTCAAGTCTGGAGAATAAAAATAGGGGAATATTTCACTGTCTAATTTACTTTGTACTAGGCAGAAAATGGGTTAGTTTGTGACCCCCGATTTTCCCGAGAATTGATTGTCTATATCTGATGTAGTATTAGGCTACCTAAGCTGTGAGTGCAACCTTGCCATGTGATGAAGCACAGGTGGCAGTTGGACATGAAAGTGCACCAAGTAATGAAAAAAATATTTATTTTTATTTACCTTCCTTTTAACTGGTATGCTTACATATTAGTTGTTAATATCTTGGGGTGAGTGGGCAACTAAATTTACCCAACCTGGTCAATCAACATTTGCTGCAAGACGTAGTGTATTCAGGAGTGGCTGTCGGGCAGAACATACCTTTATGTTTATTTATTTCAGGTACTTGTATAGCGCCGTCAATTTACACAGTGCTTTACATATATATTGTACATTCACATCAGTCCCTAACCCTCAAGGGGTGTACAATCTAAGGTCCCTAACTCACATTCTCACATACACATACTAGGGCCAATTTAGGCAGGGTCTAATTTACCTACCAGCATGTCTTTGGAGCGTGGGAGGAAATCGGAGTACCCGGTGGTAACCCATGCAGGCACAGGGAGAACATGCAAACTCCAAGCAGGTGGTGCCGTGGTTGGGATTCGAACCAGCGACCCTAGTACTGCCAGGTGGAAGTGCTAACCATTTAGCTACTGTGCTAGATTCCCACCAGTTGTGGTAGGACTGCATTGGGTGGCTATTCCAGCACAGTCCCATCACAAGGCAAAATGCCTTGTCCCCTACCTACCTGGCCAGATCGTACCATTGCGTTGTGGTGGTGTGAGCTGGTCATAAGTACCGTATCCACTACATTTTTTCAACGCAGTGTGAGGAAAGGCACCCTACTGCAGTCAGCTGCATTGTAATGCAGCGAACTGATGTAAATGTACCCTTACTGGTGACTGCAAGCCAACAGGATCATGCCAGCAGGATAAGCAGTAAAGTACAAGGTAATTTAGTGCCGCAGTGGATTTGCATTGGACATTTACTGCTCATTCTCAAGGGTTTGGCTTTACTGGTGAGGTAATTGACATTGAGGCACGTAGGTCAGCTTTTACACTGTAACTTTTTTTTAGGGTTTTTTTGTGCTTTATGCATATAACATTGTAATCAAATATAGGTTTTGCAAAATATTATTGGGGCATGTCCGTTTCCAGCATTAGAAGGGTCACAGTACCGTGACAGCTCCGTGTTTCCTTCCGTGCTGCACATTTGAATGTTTTACATACACATACTTTGGCGTGCTAATGCCACATCCTGTATTAGATCAGGGACACACCCAGGTCGCCAAGACTGAGAAAACATCTTTACAGGACAATACAAAACTGAGCTTCCTGCACCCTTAGATGGCAAAAACCACTGATGAGCTCCTCACTATCACAGAGGACAGGACATGTCTGACCTTCTAGAGGAATCTCAGGCTTAGAGGATGAGGTCTCATTGATGGAAGTGTCAGGCTGTGTTCTTTCCGATACTTTATTCTCATCTACTGATGTTAGATTATTATGTCTTCATGTTCTTGAACAATGTGCCTCCTCAAATTATAACTAAACCCTGGTTCACGGTCCAGAATTCGCATCAGTTTATGTGCGAATTCCGCACTGCATCACAATCGCACCCCGTTCATGCAAACCGCTGCGGGTGTGTATGTTAACAACACTCCGAAAGAGGTCCGCAAAACGCGGTGCGATGTGCAGAATCCAATCGCATAGGTGTGAATACCCATGCGATCCGATTCTATTGCGGACCCAAAAAAGGGTCCTGCATCTTTTTGGTGCGGTGCGATTAGAGCCATACAAAATGTATGACTCCGCACACAAATCACATGTGATTTGCACAGGAATGTGGTGCGGTTCCTGTACGAATCACATGTGATATAACACACCACATGTATATGAACGCAGGCTAAAGGCAAAACTTTTTTTTTTTTTTTTTTTAAAGATTTGGATACACTGACGAGGGGATAGAAGCACTGTCAGGTCTTTATTGCTGTTGATGCCTCAGAGATTCACTTTCTATGATAGTCCTGATCACCAATGTAACCAGAAATGTAAGTGGAGGTAAATCCAAAATTTTGAGAGCAGGAATAGACTGAAGTCTTCAAATGGGGACACTTGTTCCATGAGAACTAAGAGAGGATTTCCTTTACAGTGCAAAGATATCCTCTCACTTCCTACACTTTCTTCAGACAAGTGAAGGGAAATCTCCCTAATGAGATACAAATGGCAAAAAACCTAACTGTGGTTTTACCCCTGCTCTACTGTATCTAAAATTTAAAAAAAAAAAGTTTGCTTTTAGTTATACTGTACGATTTTACAGGTGATGACCCGTATTACTGTTATCTGTGTATTAACAGATTTAGTAAGAAGGGTTTTCTGTTTTCAAAAATAAATTGTCAAATCTCTTTGGTATCACTGGCCCTCTTAGAATCCGTCCTTGTTAGTGGTTCCCTTTGTAGAAAATACAGAAGAAATCGCTTTTTACTCAGAAGCTCATTGCTGTCAGTGCGTTTCTTAGCAGGGGCTGCCTTGCAGCAAAAAACTGCAGTTTTTCAATGTTGCTTAAAATGTTTTTCGACTTTTGCACCCAAATTGATATAACACCTACTTTATATTTTAAGTGTTCTCATTCACGCAGCATAACTTAAAAAGAAAAAATTAAAAAAAGTGTAACTTTTTATAGATATTCTTTTTCTGGACCCTCCAGCACTTTAAAATTCTACTAATTCTCTTTATGAGGGGACTGGGCAGCTATGTTTGCCATTCTGGACTGTCTTTTCTGTGCAAGCATATCTCATCAGATGTAACTCAATTTGAACACTGTCCTAAAAAATGTTAACATGGTTATAGACCATTACATATAATACCCAATTAAATTACTACCCTCAGGTGATACACAGAGGAAACAAATCCTCTTACTTAAACTCTACCTGTTTATACGTAGTCTTGTCTCCTCTACATCTGTTCAAAGTCCAGAATTTCTACAGCTTGTTTGAGCTTACAGAAAGCAGGGAGTGGGGAGAAATTACACTAGAGCTGATTGGAGGGAAGGGACACACCCCCTTCACACAGCACACAAGAACAGAGCTGAGGTTGTCAATCACAGGCTGTGTGCTGGAGCTCCCTCCCATCACCATTTTTCTCTTGGTGTCAGGATAACTCGTCAGAATTGACTCTGATGCTGAAAACAAAGAAACAAGGCAGCAGACAGAAATGGCACTTAGTGCTCTGGATTGAGACAAGTACACACTATAGAGGGATATGCTTTGTTAGTTTTTCATTTCTGAGGTTTACAAACACTTTAAAGGCTTAAGCCTAGTACACACGATCAAAAAAATTGAACAAAAACATACCGCTTTCAAAGCGATCGTACGATAATCTGATTGTTAGTACACAGCTTTCATCTGAAATTAGTCGAAGGGACAAGCACGAACATTTTTCATGTACTAAAGCAGGTTGTACAATTTTTGTTTAATTTAGTACAGTTTCATCCAAAAACACAATACTCAAATACATTACATCACATCCAAATTTTTATTCTGTATGAAGGTAAAAGAATTTTCATAACTTTAGTAACCTCTTCCCTTTTAATATGAGACTAGCATGCAAAAAAAAAAAAGGGACCATTATTCGTCCAATATTCTCATCATGTATACGGGGCTTTAGAAGCCAGGTCTCTTGCATTGTGTTTTTAATGGGAGGAGATTCCTCCTGCCCTTAGAACAGACTCATTCTGTTCAAAAATCCTAGACGTCAGCTATGATACCTTCTCCTAAAAAACATTTAAACAGCAAGAAATATTTTTTTAGATAAATGAGAACACAGAACAGACATATAGTGGGGTTTTCTGAAATTTTAAATGCAAGAGTAGAAATACACTATAATTTTTACCTTCATACAGCTGATTAATGACACACCCCATTGATCAGCACTGGCCATGAGGCTTTTCCATTTTCTTGCTGAAAGTAGACATCTACTTGAACAAGTCCAGAGAACAAAGATAATGCACAGAGTGCAGCTAACCATGGCTAGCAATACGATTTCACCTTCCATCAGCTCATACCAGCCAGAAATGAAAATTGGTTTTGTTATTGGTTGCTATGGGTTATTGTTCATTTCTGTTTTGTTAATAGATAAGCCCAGAGTATGATCACATCTTGCTATGTCAATGCATTAGTGGTGGTAAGCTCAAAAGGAGGACACTTAGCAGCTTAAAAGAAGTTGGCAAGGCAAGATATTTTACTGAAGAGATTTAGCCTGGGTCTAGACTGATGCGGTGTGTCACATTGCATGTGATTCGCATTTGAACCGCAACGCATTCCTGTGCAAATCACATATGATTTCTGTGCGGTGCAATTTGAACCATATGTTTTGTATGGCTCAAATCGCACCGAATCTGCACCAAAAAATTGTAGGACCCTTTTTTTTTTGTCCGCACCAGAATCGGATCGCCTGGGTGTTCACACCCATGCAATGCGATTCTGGACATCACACTGCGTTTTGTGGACTGATTTTGGGGTGTCATTAACATACACACCCGCAGCAGTTCGTGTGAACGGGGTGCGATTATGATGCGGAGCGGAAATCGTACAGAAACTCATGTGAATTTGGCACCACATCAGTGTGAACCTGGGCTTAAATGAGGAAATTTACTATTATGCAGTTTCTGGACAGACACTGAGCACTAGCCGGCATCATCAAAGAAAACCAAGAGCTGCACATGGCTCATGTACTACTGCTTAGATACCACTGGCCATTTCTGGGCCACCAAAATCATTTATAGGCCTCAACATCCCTCATTCAACTATGTCCAGATGATTACTGATTACCCATCTGTGACAAACGCAGTGCCCGACCTGCCCTTCTCACTAACCACGTGACAAAGGACCAGCCAATCTCACATCGCGCTGTCACTCGCGTAACAATGCCACTCTCAGCTGCACCCTACACAAAGTTTTTTAGCTCCTGGGACCACAATCTATGTGCCAGCAGCCTGAGAGCGATTGTCATCTGGGTTACTTAATTATGCAATTAACCCTACAAACTCCAAACTGCCACCAGATAGCTTTGGGACTGTCAACCCTTTACAATGTTAGCAAGAACAAACATGAACAATGAACGTCTGTAACACACACTGTCACCACGGACAGGTATATTCAGAGGATTATTATATACGGTAGCACTCTTCAAGAGACAGGGATACTTTAGTTTGCATTAAAAGCCTTAGAGATAATTTTAACACTTTTCAAAATAGGGTTTATTAATGAAAAGGTCAAATGGTGCAATTAAAATATTTACAGAAAGGGATGTTACAAAGAAATAAAGAGAACAATAAAGAAATAAAAGAAAGGAGTTTAAGACAGTCCTGGTTTTAGCAGAGTCCAATTGTTCAAGCAAAAACGTTGCCTTGGCTCTTAAGTCCGCTAAGACTTTCCTTGTTTGATGTTAAACTAGAGCTCAATCTTAACAAGTCTTGTCAGTCCCTTTCTATGACATCAAGGGGGTGTGGACAGAGACCAACTCACCAATAATCCGGTTTAATAGATTGGTGCTAGGAGGTCACCACATTTATGACCAAGTCCCAACTACAGTTTTACATTAATATTAATAACTTCCAATACATGCAAGTGGTATTCTAGCAACTGGCAGATTAATATTCAGAATTATATTTCGAACCCAGGGATACTAAACACAGCGTACCTTGTCACCCAGGAGGCAGGAGACTGTTATCTCCCCTTTCCTATGTGCTAACATAGTTATGTATGACCTTGATTTGTTCGGTATAATATTCCTCATTCAAATATATACCTAATATTAATGTGGCCTGTTCCTGTTGAATTGTTAAGTTGTAGAATTATTATTATTGGGGAATTGTGGAGTTTTATGGCAGGCTCTGCATTCCCAGAGCCTTAATGGCATTACAGGTCATGTGTGATGGCTTGACTGAGTTGTTATTGTTTTACGATAGGGCAGAGGAAAGTGTTTTCCATGGTTAGTGGAAACCAACATCCTGCCAAAACTAATTAGCAGTTCCTCTGTGTTTTAATTAAGATAAGAGTTTCTTTTGAAGTTTAAGTTACAGCTACAAATTCCAGTTTTCAGGAGGGAGGAGAAGAGGAAGATCATTGCTCATGAAAAACAAAAATGCTGAGACCTTAACAAAATGGCATGTCACGTACAGGTTCCATGTCCCTATTGCGCACTATCGTTACACCATCTACTTGATAATGTATTTGTTTTACTGGTTCTCTTTATGAAATACACATTAACAATAATCCACTTGCTTCCCCAGCTCTGACCGAGAACACAATTTGCGTGGGTCTGGCTCGAGTAGGGGCGTCTGACCAACACATTGCAGCGGGCACCCTGCAGCAGCTCAGTACGGTTGATTTTGGAGCCCCTCTTCATTCATTGGTGATCAGCGGCTGCATGCACCCCCTGGAACTGGACATGCTCAGACTCTTTGCTGTGGACCCCTCTTGTTTTGATCAGATTAATGTAGAGGACAGCTCAACAATCTATCTGTCTTCCTAGGCACTTTGTGAAAACAAGCAGTACATCACTGTTCAAACTGCAGCAGCTACCCCGTGTGTGTGTGTGTATGTGTGACAGCAAACCGTGCTTTGTATTTGTGCCAATGTGCTACTGTGTCCCTCTAACCAGTATAGCCATATACTAGGGGTGCACCAGATTCACGTGTTTGCCTTTATTTAGTGAACTTGTGTAAAGAGCAGATTTGTACAGCTAGTAATAGAAGCCAATCAGAAGTCGGCTTTTAGCTGTTTAGCGTAGTCACAAGGACTAAAGACATGGATTAACTGCACAAGTTGCTCCATTTTGCACACTGCTCTTTGCCTCATTATATAAAGGCTTTTAAGCACAAACAGTACTATCAAAATTTAACCGTACAAAGAATGGAGGTGTGCAGCAACCAATGAGAAATCAGCGTAGAGTGGGCTAACGTAATGGTTGCTGTGACACAACACTGGTTGGGAACTGTTCTGTTCTGCAGTAAAGCAGATTGCATTCTGAATTGAATATCATACATATTCCTCTAAGGACAGTAGGCTAAGCTGATGGATCTGCAGAGGCATTCATTATTGGACCAAGTTGCCTGAGCTGTTATGCAGAACTGTATGTACTGGTAATGCTGCTGCTGATAGTTCTACATTTAAATCCCAACTCCGACCAAAATTTCAGTTTGAGGCTCGGTTCACACTATAGAAACGCAGTCCAAATGCCTACCGGATGTAATTCTGCATTCGTGTTTTTGACACGCTCCAGTGTATTTTTTAATGCGTTTTTGACGTATTCCATTGCATTTTTATGCATTCCAGCTCATTTTCCCCCTCTCCTTTTTTTCAATTTAAATAGGGACTTGTGCATTTTTGGTGCATTCCGGTGTGTTTTTTATACGTTTTACCGCGTTCCAGTACAGTTCTGTGCAGAAAAAATGCAGCCTGCTCTATTGTTTTTCTGCAACCGAAACGCACTGGAATTGCAAGCACTGATGTGAACTATGACATTGACAGCCATATAACCTACTTTCTGCGCGTTTTGGATGCAGAAAAAAAGCAACTGTAACGCATGTAGTGTGAACTGGCCCTGAGTGAGAGTGAGAACCTCTGTCTGATTTTTATTCTAGCCTGTGTCTCTATTAGAGAGATTTGCTCTCACTTCCTGTCCCAGTGACATGGTGCCACAAGGATTGGAAGCAATGGGAGATCCTTTAGAGAAGGACAGAGACGGCAACAAAGGCACGTGTATTTAGTGGGATTTGAAGTGAGGAAGGGTTAGAATATCTGTTAGGTTTTTGTTGTTCTCTTGTGCTATCCTGTCCCAGTGACATACACACCCATTCTCATTTCATTCTATACTGGCAGTGAGACAGGAATTCAGGGGAAATGTCTACAAAGAGGACACAGCAATAGAAACTTGACAAGGGTTTGAACTTTTTTTCTGCTCCTATCAAAACTGTTGCTGGAGTTGGGTTTGAAAAGAATGTGGTGCATCCATAATATATGTCAAGGCACTTTAATATAGATCCTTTCCATCTTGTTCACTATACACTGCCCCCCCCCCCCCCCCCCCGGTACATTATTACCAAACACAGGCATTCTTCAAAACCGTGTGTTCATATTACAGAGCTATTGCTTAAGTTAATAAAAAGTCACATTTTCAAATATTGTATGTTTCTTGTGTGTTTATTTGTGTTAATTTTTGAGCCATTATTATGCTATCAATTATAAACGAGGGATATTTAGATAAAAATTCTCTGCAGCAAACAAAATCTAATCTAATGTTTTTTTGTTTTTTGTTGTTTTTTTTAACGTGTAATGTATGTCTGGGCAAACGTTTATAAAAAATATATATATATATAAAAATAAACATGGATAGGCACTAAACCAACCATGCAACAAAAGAGAGCAAGTCAATTCTCAGCACCATCTAACAATTATTAGTCCTATACCAAATGTAATGATATGGGACTCTCAACAACATACAGTTAGGTCCATATATATTTGGACACAGGCATAATTTTAGATTTTTCAGGTATTTACCAAAACATATTCAAGCTATAGTTATATAATGGATATGGGCTGAAAGTGCACACTCTCAGGTTTAATTTGAGGGTATGCACATCCAAATCAGGTGAACGGTGCAGGAATTACAACAGTCTGCATATGTACCTCCCACTTGTTAAGGGACCAAAAGTAATGGGACAATTGGCTTCTCAGCTATTCCATGGCCAGGTGTGTGTTATTCCCACATTATCCCAATTACAATGAGCAGATAAAAGGTCCAGAGTTCATTTCAAGTGTGCTATTTGCATTTGGAATCTGGAAGGCTAAAAAAACAAAACAAACCCATCAGAGAGATAGCAAAAACATTAGGCGTGGCCAAAACAGCTGTTTGGAACATTCTTAAAAAGAAGGAACGCACCGGTGAGCTCAGCAACACCAAAAGACCCGGAAGACCACGGAAAACAACTGTGGTGGATGACCGAAGAATTCGTAACCTGGTGAAGAAACACACCCTTCACAACAGTTGGCCAGATCAAGAACACTCTCCAGGAGGTAGGTGTATGTGTGTCAAAGTCAACAATCAAGAGAAGACTTCACCAGAGTGAATACAGAGGGTTCACCACAAGATGTAAACCATTGATGAGCCTCAAAAACAGGAAGGCCAGATTAGAGTTTGTTAAACGACATCTAAAAAAGCTTTCACAGTTCTGGAACAACATCCTATGGACAGATGAGACCAAGATCAACTTGTACCAGAGTGATGGGAAGAGAAGAGTATGGAGAAGGAAAGGAACTGCTCATGATCCTAAGCATACCGCCTCATCATTGAAGCATCAACATACAGTTGGGTCCATATATATTTAGACACAGGCACAATTTTAGATTTTTCAGGTATTTACCAAAACATATTCAAGCTATAGTTATATAATGGATATGGGCTGAAAGTGCACACTCTCAGGTTTAATTTGAGGGTATGCACATCCAAATTGGAGGAAGGGTTTAGGAATTACAGCTCTTAAGAGCAGCCATCCCCCCTTTATCAAGAGACCAAAAGTAATTGGACAATTGAATATAATCATAAATAAAATGTTCATTTTTAATATTTTGTTGAGAATCCTTTACTGGCAATGACTGCCTGAAGTCTGGAACCCATGGATATTAGCAAAGACTGGGTTTCCTCCTTTCTGATGCTTTGCCAGGCTCTAACTGCTGCTGTCTTCAGTTGTTCTTTGTTTGTGGGTCTTTCTGCCTTTAGTTTTGCCTTCAGCAAGTGAACATGTACGCTCAATTGGGTTGAGATCAGGTGATTGACTCGGCCATTGCAGAATATTCCACTTCTTTTCCTTCAAAAGCTCCTGGGTTGCTTTTGCAGTGTGTTTTGGATCATTGTCCATCTGTACTGTGAAGCACCGTCCAATCAATTTTGCTGCATTTATGCTGAATCTGGGCTGACAGTATATCTGTAAACACTGCAGAATTCATCCGGCTGCTTCTGTCTTCTGTCACATTATCAATAAACACCAATGACCCAGTGCCACTGCAAGCCATGCATGCCCATGCCATCACACTGCCTCTACCATGTTTTACAGATGACGTTGTGTGCTTTGGATCATGAGCTGTTCCAAGCCTTCTCACACCTTTTTTCTTCCCATCATTCTAGCAGTACTTCTCCCCTCTACATGCACATTAACCTGTTCTTTATCCCATCTGTTGATCCTGCCATAAATCCATAGTGCTCCTAACTTCCTGTACAATCTACCTCTGTTGCACTGAAATCTCAGTTGGTGTTATCAGCCCTGCCGAGTTCTCCTCTGCGGCTGTGAAACAAATATAATTTATTATAGAGGGGGAGGTGTTCTGTAGTCCACCAGAAGAGAACTGAGCAGGGCAAATGACACTGCTTGAGATTCCAGCACAGAAGAGGCAATGTGCTTACTAGACTTCTGGTAGGTCAGTGGAAACGGGCTCACTGGACTTCTGGTAGGTCAACCAGTTATTTTTCTGTAGCATTTTTAAAAGCATAAGACAGGACAAATTGTGCATGTATTAGAGATATGTATATATTTTTTTTATTTGCCCAGATATGCACTTTAATATAACCACATGTTTTTTCTTCTCTTTAATGTAGTGTTTATCACCACAAAAGGGAAGAGTACCAGCTTGTATGAAGGAGTGTCTCTGTGCTGTAAATGTCAATAGACCACATGTCTGCAAGCTGGCTGGTAATTGTAAATACTAGAGTTGGTAAGCCATAGTTTCATTTAAAATGAGAAACCTATTCACCACACTAACTTTATTAGACATACAAATACAGATTTGTCTCTCATCTCTAAGCTGTTGAACCATTATAATAATCAAATATGTATAGAAATGCAGTTCTTGTATCGGGGCAGTGTTGTCCATTACAGGGCTGGGCATTCTATATTATATATACAAATGTTCCTGCCTACACAGCAGTATTATTTGCACAGTCACTGTGATTGAAGATGTTGCTGTTGCAATGCTTATGTGGTTTTGGTGGTCATGGCATATTTTGTTTTCTTTATTTTGTATATTGAACTTCCTAATGCACTGTTGATTCCCTTTTTACTGTATTTTGTTTTCTTTTTTTACGTTTATAAAATTCTCTTTTCAACAAGGGGAAAAGGTTTTACACGTGGTTCCTCCATCTGTTGTTAGTGTGTTTCTATAAATCAGCTGCTCAGTTCAAGGTCAGGACGACAATGACTAATTATTGCATAAAAAAAGAAATGTATACACTCACTGACCACTTTATTAGGTACACCTTGCTAGTACCGGGTTGGGCCCCCTTTTGCCTTCAGAACTGCCCTAATTCTTTGTGGTATATATTCAACAAGGTGTTGGAAACATTATTCAGAGATTTTGGTCTATATTGGCTTGAGTTATGGTTACCTTTCTTTCATCTCAAACCAGTCTGCCCATTCTCCTCTGGCCTCTGACATCAACAAGGAATTTTTGTTCACACAGTTGCCGCTCACTGGATATTTT